AGTCCCACAGGTAAGACCGACACTCCTTTGCCTTTGGGAATGTTCTGATGGCTCCAGAGATGGATGGGTGGGTGATGGGACACAGGGTGAGATGGGGAAGAAAAGGTGGTGGGTGGACGGGGTGCGATAGGACAGTCGGACTGGCTGCCCGAGACCTGGTTTTCGACTTGGCTCTGCTGGAGATGTGCTGTGTGACCTTGGCAAGTGGAGCAACCTCTCTGGGTGTCACCTGGGGTGGGGTGGGTTCCAGCCTCCCAAGAACCAGGCAGGTGTAGCTGTGGCAAAACTGCCACCTTGGTAGAAGCTTGTTCGTGCTGGAGGAGGGGAAAGTGGCTCCGGGACACGCAGAGGCCCCTGTGTCCCCTGGGGCTCCGTGGGGTCTCTGATATGTTTCTGAGTGCCTCTTTCAGGAACCACCCCCTGCCGTAGCTTTACAGGAACTAACAAACTACTCTCTCCACACTCAGGAGGCCTCGTCCCACCTTGTAAATATTTGATGAGATGTTTGAAGAATGAAGCTTCAGTACACACGTGTGTGGACATCTACATAAATGAAAATGTATTTAACTGAAGCATTCTTTTCTTACTACGATGTCCTCTAATGTTTCCTATTCTTTTATTTTTTAATGCTACTGTGACCCATTGCCTTGCAGTTTGAAAAACCCTGCTCTAGGCCAAAGTTCTTCATCCAGACTCAATGGGTGGATTTCAGGAGGGGTCCATGATGATGATGGTGATAGCGATGATGATGGCAGCAATGATGCTGATGGCGCTAGCGGTGGTGGTGGCGGTGGTGATGGTGGTGGTGATGATGGTGTGGTGGTGGTGAGGTGGTAGCATTGATGATGATGGTGCTGGCAGTGGTGATGTGATGGTGGCAGTGATGATGTGATGGTGGTGGTGATGATGGTAGCGGTGATGGGGATGGTGGTGAGGATGGTGGTGGTGATGGGGATGGTGGTGAGGATGGTGGTGGTGATGGGGATGGTGGTGAGGATGGTGGTGGTGA